AGGGGAACCAGCGATGCCAATTGCAAATGCAGATTAACTCTGCAGGAAGCGTTGCCACAAGCTGTAGCCTGGATCCCTTCCTATGACGAGGCGTGAAGCCTCTGGCTGTGCTGACTCCATGCTAGGTAAAGGAAAGACTGTTGAACGGTTCGGCAGAGAGCGTCCCTGGGTTGTCTGGTGCCACGTCCTCCATGGTGATAGGGCCCCGGGGCAAATCCTGTTCATCCTCGGTGCCCCCGCCCCTGGCACAGTGCTGAGGTGGCAGGCTGGGGAGGATGGGCTTGAGGAACTTGAACTCGCTGTTGCCCGAGCCTGTTGTGAGGCTGATCTCGTAGCAATAGGCGTGGGGCAGGGTCCCCGCATTGGCCGCCTCGGACAGGCTGCTCTGCAAGTTGCCGGTGCCGTAAAGCACGTGCCCACCCTTCAGCTCCTTTCTCTTGCACACCTTATGAGCGACGAAGGCGACCATGGACGCGAGGAAGAGGAGTGAGACAAAGACCAATGAAATGATTAAATAGGTGGTCAGGGAGCTGCCCTCGTCCTCCGTGGCCAGGCTGCTGGGCGGTAGGCGCACCTCCGAGAAGTCACTGAGCAGGAGCGCGCTCAGTGCCGCGGTGGCTGACAGCGGTGGCCGCCCGTTGTCTCGCACCAGGACGACGAGCTTCTGCTTCACGGTGTCTCTCTCTGTCACTGGCCTCCTCAGACGCACCTCCCCGCTTTGGGCACCCACCGCAAACAGCCCGGGGTCGGTGGCCTTCAGCAAGTGGTACGAGAGCCACGAGTTCTGCCCCGAGTCGGCATCAACAGCCACCACTTTGGTGACGAGGTACCCCGCCTCAGCCGAAACGGGCACCAGCTCGCTGGACGGTGGGCTGCTGTCCTGGGCGGGGTGCAGCACCAGTGGCGCATTGTCATTCTCGTCCACCACGACAAGGCGGACGGTGACGTTGGCGCTAAGGCGAGGCGACCCCGCGTCACAGGCGCTCACTGAGACCTCGATCTGCCTCACGTGCTCGTAGTCCAGGGGCCGCAGCACAAACACGTGCCCGTTCTCAGAGTTCACAGAGATACAGGAGCAGGGAGGCCGCTCTGCGGGGTGCGCTGGGGCCAGGGAATAGGTCACCTTGGCATTGGGCCCCACGTCGGCATCCGAGGCGCTGACGGCTCCAACGAGCACCGTGGGCACGTTGTTCTCACGCACGTACATGGTGTACGAAGTCTGGTTGAAGACAGGCGCGTTGTCGTTCACATCGGAGATGTCCACCGTGAAGGTCTGGGTGGTCGTGAGAGGAGGCGACCCCGCGTCTGCTGCTGTGACAGTGAGGATGTACCGCGCCGTCTCCTCCCGGTCCAGCGCGCTCACGGTCACCAGCTCATAGTAATTCTTGTAGGCTGGTCGCAGGGAGAACGACAGCTGGTCTTCCAGGGCACAGGTGATCTTCCCGTTGGCACCAGCATCCCGGTCCCTGACAGTAAAGAGGGCGACCACCGTCCCCGGTGATGCGCTCTCGGGGAGGGGGCTGCTGAAAGAACTGACCGCCAGCTCCGGCGCATTGTCATTCACATCCACCACCTCCACCAACACCTTGCAGATTGCCGAGAGGCCCCCGCCATCCGTGGCCCGCACGCTGAGCTCGTGATTCTCTGCCACCTCAAAGTCCAGAGGCTTTGTGAGTTTAATTTCACCGCTCACAGGGTCAATGACAAATGCCGAGGGGCTCTGGCCCACCGCTTGGCTGAATTGGTAGGAGATGGCCCCGTTAGGTCCCGCATCCAGATCGGATGCCACCACCTTGACAACCACAGAGCCCTCCGGAGCATTTTCCAATACCTGGCCAATGTACCGCTCCTGTGTGAAGA